CTCTCCGTCACATTCGCACTTATTCGCTTTCTCTCACACACACTCTCTCTCTCTCTCTCTCTTTCTCTCTTCCCCTCTCTCTCTCTCTTCTCACTTCTCTCATTCTCTTCTCTCTTCTTTCTTCTCCCTTCCGCCTTACCCTCTTCCCTCATCCCTCATCCTTTCCCTTCCTTTTCCTTCTCCCTCTCCCTTGTCCTCCTTCCCTCCCCCCCCTCCCCCTCTCTCTCTCTCTCTCTCTCTCTCTCTCTCTCTCTCTCTCTCTCTCTCTCTCTCTCTCTCTCTCTCTCTCTCTCTCCTCTCTCTTCTCTCTCTCTCTCTCACTCACTCACTCATTCACCCTCTCTCTCACGCACGCACTCACTCTCTCTCTCTCTCTCTCTCTCTCTCTCTTTCTCTCTCACTCACTCACTCACTAACTCACTCTCTCTCTCTCTCTCTCTCTCCTTTATTTTTTCCCCTCTTCTATACTCTACTTAGAAAGAGGCAAGTGTTTATAAATATTTGCCTATTCTCTCTGCCATAAATCAGTACTTGGCATCCGAACTTAAACGAATCATAGGGAAGTTTGAAATAAGTATTGCCATCTAGGCGTCATCCAGTTTATGGCATCAGCATCAATAACATTACTAACAGAAACATTAAAAGATGAGACAGTGAATTCGGTGTATTAGATAACAAGTATTCACTTTGTTTTACTTGCATACTTGTTAATGTTCTATTACTGATCGAATTATAGTTCAAGAGCGATGTAGTTTTCTTAATTCATACAATATAATTATAGATTCCAAGTTTTGAAATCTTACCACATAAATTTCGAGTATGAACGAAAACTGTCAAAATCAATGACCTCAAGCTTTATGCCATAACTCACTAAACTCTTAAGTCATAAATCACTAGTTAAAGCCATGCTCGTAACAGATCCGTCTTAATTAACACATGATATTAATCACCGAGTACGTGATTACACTTAACTCTACGAGAAGCAGTGGCATACATTGTTCACCGTTAATGTTATTATTTCTATTTTCTACAGCGATGTAAGTTAAGAAATGCAGGTCAAATGAAAAGCGACAAATGCTAATTAGATCATATTTAAAGTAATCTCACGCATTTTCCTGCTTCTAAAGATAAATATTTACGACAATTATCACTGCTAAAAGGACACACTGACGACACGATGACGAAAAATTAATAAATAGATATAACGAAATAAATAAATTATTGTTATTACTGTTTTCAATAATATCATTACTATTGCTGTAATTGTAACTATCATTTTCATATTACCATTATTATCATAATTGTTGTTATCAATATCATTATATCATTATTACCTCCGCCAAGAAGGTTATGTTTTTGACGGCTCAAAAAGTGCTGGCCGGATTTCATCGAAATTTTGGGGACAAGTCAGAGAGGGACTAACTTAGAACTGATTAAATTTTGGTGACATTCCGAATTACCGTCTGGACGCAGCAGCGGTGTAAGTACATCCGAAAGATAATCATGATATTTTTGGACTTGGCCGTGTCCCGGGTGTAACTGTGGATGCAGCAGCGGTGCAAGTACATCCGAGTGATAATTATGATGTTCTTAATTAGACTTGGCAGCGTCCCGCATGTCACGCTCATAAAAAAAAACATAATCACAGTCTGGATGCAACAGCGGTGGAAGTACATCCAAACAATGATTATGGTGTTCCTAGACTTGGCCGCGTCCTGCGTGGCATACAAAACACAGACACACACACACACACACACACACACACACACACATACATGCACATACACACACACATCACACACACACTCACGCACACACACACTGTAAAGGGTTATTGAAGGGAAACCTCTAAACATTGGTGACAGGAAGTAGTAAAAGCTTAGTGGCTAAAAACTCTTTTATTGATAGAGCTAGCACACAGAGAATAAACACAAGGAGTGACGGTCTTGGGTTATGGCTGGGTCACTTGGGGTCACCGGCCAGCCCACCTCCACGTGGACCGGCCCAGCGGGCTGTTGTGATCTCTTGACCTCGCCAGTCACACTCTCCCTGACCGGTCGGATAAGGATAAGTCCGATATGCGAAGCTGTGGACCTCGCCCGGGCTATGGGGGAGCCCGGCCTGTGCCGACGTATGTCGACTCGCTATCAGTGTGTCAGCAGGTGCTGACTCGGGTGAGCTTAGTCCTTACCCACCGTGGTGCCCGGCCACAGCAGTAACCTCCAGGCGACAATTGCAACTTCTCGCGCCTGGGCGGGGCGCGAACCGCCGACCCCTCAGATGAGAGGCCGACACGTTACCACTGTACTAGCCCGGTCGAAACGCGGCCCTTAAGTATCCGAGACGCTTGTTTGGGGGGGCGAGTAGGAACGCCCCCAGCCATTATGGGCACGCCTGCTTGGGTAGGCCGTATGGACACCACGTGGCCACTTCAAGCCTCCACGTAGGGGCCACGCAGGCATATAATACTGATTTGATACACTATACACACACACATCCAGAATATTTAAAAAAACACTGATTTTTATTTTCCCGTAAAAATGTTTGAGACAAAATGGCCCTCATACACAATTAAAAGCAAACTGTTGCCCTTGAATTGTGCATGAGGCCCTTTTTTTTTCTTTTTTGAAGAAACTCCGAGCTGTCTGATCCTTTTTATCCTCAACCAAAGTATATATATTATATACGCACCTTGGCGGAGGTCTGCACACTCTGAGTGCTTTTCTAGTTATTATTATTATTATTATTATTATTAACATTACTATTGTCATTATCATTGTCATTATTATCATTATTACTATTTCTGTTATTATTGCTATTATTCTTATTACGATCATTATTATCATCATTATTATTACCATCATTATTATCATTAATATTATCATTACTATTATTGTTAATATCATTACTATCAATATTGTTATTATTGAAATTATTATTATTATCATTATTATCATTATTGTTATTATCACTATTATCATTATCGTTATTATCATTACCATCCTTATTATTATCATTATTATTATTATTACTATTATTATCATTATTACCATTATTATTATTATTATCATTAATATTATAGTAATTATCATTATTATTATTACCTCCGCCAAGGAGGTTGTTTTTGACGGCGGTGGTTTGTTGGTTTGTTTGCTTGTTAGCAGCGTAGCTCAAAAAGTGCTGGCCGGATTTCATCGAAATTTTGGGGACAAGTCAGAAAGGGACTAACTTAGAATTGATTAAATTTTGGTGACATTCCGAATTACCGTCTGGACGCAGCAGCGTCTGATCCTATTCATCCTCAACCAAAGTATATATATTATATACGCACCTTGTTACTATTATTATTACCTCCGCCAAGGAGGTTATGTTTTTGACGGCATTGGTTTGTTGGTTTGTTTGTTTGTTAGCATGTAGCTCAAAAAGTGCTGGCCGGATTTCCTCGAAATTTTGGGGACAAGTCAGAAAGGGACTAACTTAGAACTGATTAAATTTTGGTGACATTCCGAATTACCGAACCTAAGTATATTATATACGCACCTTGGCGGAGGTCTGCACTCTCTGAGTGCTTTTCTAGTTAATATTATTATCATTATTATCATATTATCATTACTATTATTGTTATTATCATTATCATTATTACCTCCGCCAAGGAGGTTATGTTTTTGACGGCGTTGGTTTGTTGGTTTGTTAGCAGCGTAGCTCAAAAAGTGCTGGCCGGATTTCATCGAAATTTTGGGGACAAGTCAGAAAGGGACTAACTTACAACTGATTAAATTTTGGTGACATTCCGAATTACCGTCTGGACGCAGCAGCGGTGTAAATACATCCGAAAGATAATCATGATATTTTTGGACTTGGCCGTGACCCGTAAAAATGTTTCAGACAAAATGGCCCTCATACACAATTAAAAGCAAACTGCTGCCTTTTAATTGTGTATGAGGGCCTTTTTTTTTCTTTTCTGAAGAAACTCCGAGCTGTCTGATCCTTTTCATCCTCAACCAAAGTATATGTATTATATACGCACCTTGGCGGAGGTCTGCACTCTCTGAGTGCTTTTCTAGTTATTATCATTGTTATTAATTATTGTTATTATTATTATTACCATTATTATTATTATTATCATAAATATTATCATTAATATTATAGTAATTATCCTCATTATTATTACTATTATTATTACTATTCTTCTTCTTATCATTATCATTATTACTGTTAGTAGTAGTAGTATTTTCGTTATCATTATCACTATCATGATTATCATTATAATTATTTTCATGATTATTATTTTCATCATTATTATCATTTCTTTATTATCATCGTTATCACCATTATCATTATTATTATCAATACTTCCAATATTATTATCGTTGTTATCATTATTATTATCATTCTTTTCATTACTATTACTTCGTGAGCACTATCATTTTCATCATAATCATTATCATCATTATATTTATATCATCATTACTCTTATCGTTATCATCAATTTTATCATTATTACCATTATTATTAATACTCAGGAAGTAAGGCTTCTCGAGTATAAAATGATGTAAAAATATATATATATTTTTTTCAAAATACAATGGCATAAAACGTTTAACAAAACCAACAAAACACTCAAAACATCAATAGAAACAAAACACAACAATAACAAAAACAACCACAAACAAACAATGAAACAGCAAAATAACAAACACACACACTCACAAAGAGAAAAAAAAATATAAACAATAAAAAAAAAAAAAAAAAAAACACAGACACCGATACTAACCTCTGACCTTGAGGACGTGACTAACATTTCTTGGAGGAACAGTCTCGCTGAGTTCGCACGTATAAGTCCCTTCGTCAGTGGCGTCGATGTTCTTGATGGTGAGGGACGTGTCGTTGCGGCCGAAGCGATCGTCTCGCGTGACAGACTGTTGAGAGAGAGAGAAGGGGGGGTGAGGGGGTGAGGGGGTGAGGGGGGGTCGTTAGGGAGGTGGTTTTGAAGGGTTTGG